GAAGAACACAGAAGACCAGACAAGGTAAAGAGGATGGGCTACTACTACTGTGAGGGACAAAACTTAAGAGCTATTGTCAAGAATGACCCAAAGATTTCATTTTCCCTTATTTCGAAATAGAAGATAAATAGAGATGCCTTCTACCCCCTCCAATTATCCAATTGCTTATTTTGTTATCATGTCTATTTTTTTACAGAATTTCAAAGACCTTAGTTACTAGATCTGGAGCAAGCTACTGTGGTAACAACCCTCAACTGCTTTATATATAAAATGCAGATTCACTGACATAAGTAAACTGCACAGCACAGAACCCTAAAGAATTTATTTCTACATAAACAGGGTGGGTACAGGGTACAAAGGAACTTGGTCTGAGGTCTAGAGTGATAGGTTTTCACTTTCATAGTAGTTACATCAGCTCCCACACCCCAACACATAAAATGAGCAGATATTCAAAATTTTCATGATGAACCAGATATATATATATATATATATATATATATATATATATATATATATATATATATATATATATATATATATATATACTGAATTTGGATAAGATTGTTATTAGGTCTTTTCTGCCGACATTGGACCATTTGCTATTGCTAATGAGTTTACCGAAGTTCATTTTGCAAAACATGGACCTTCTTCTTCTTATAGCCGATTGATCTTTTTATTTCATTCTGTTCGTGTTTTTGTAGGAAACTTCCTGTCATATATGCCTTACAGTAAAGAATGGCTTCTTTTTCTTCTAATTCCTGTATTGAATATTTGAAATATATATATATATATATATATATATATGTATGTGTGTATGTATGTATGTATATATGTATGTATGTATGTATGTATGTATGTGAGAAACTACAGACTTACAAAAAACCCTTTTGCTGGTGTGGAAGAAGAGAGAAGTTCAATTTTGATACCTGTCTGCCAATGGAAAAAAAAGAAAAAGGTACTTTTATAGGGATCATACTGCTGTTACTCCTCCTGCTCACATGCTATATTTCTGTTTTCTTTTAAATAGCAAACAAGACAGTCCTTATATTGAGGAAATAAAAAAAAAGGGGAGAAAAAAAGAGTGGCAGCTTGAGGCAGCTATGATCACTGTTGTGCGAATGAAGTACCACAATTAAAAAAAATATTATAAAAGCAGTGTTTTTTTTCTCTCTCACTCACCACAAGATTTCAGTAGTAGCCTGTTGCTGTTAACATCTGCAGAATAAGGCATTAACAGCACCAACTAAAGTAGATGCCGAATCTTTAAAATCTTGTTAAGAAAGCAGACAAACAAAAAAAAAAAAAACTCTGAAATACACAAGTGCATTAAAGTCAGATTTTAAAAACTGCACACGGTACATATACAGATAGTATATATACAATGAAAGTGAGGGACTTATTCCTGGGGAAGGTAACAGACAGAATGCACACACAATTCCATGGTACAGTGTTCAAGTATAGCCACAAGTAGTGACTGAGGATATCCATCACCACACAAAAATATTTTATTCAGGTATACAAAAAAGAGAAACTTGTAAAGATGGCAAGATGATATACAATCTTATCATGAATGCACACACACTAGCAAGTAAGAGAAAGGATTCTATAAATAATTTCCAGAAAAATATTCTTTTACAGAAAGAGAAAAAAAAAATAATTTCAATATGGTGATGATAATAATACTGAGGCATGAGTAATAATAGGAGCAGTAGCAATTTGGGTAGAATAGACATATGGGTTCTAAAAAGAGTAAAAATACAAATAATATAATATATATATATATATATATATATATATATATAGTTATGTAAGTGAGATAATTAGATATTAGTGACTGTATGTGTGTGTGTGTTTGGCATGCATATGCTGGTAGCAAATAAACTATATATATATATATATATATATATATATATATATATATATATATATATATATATATATATATATGAAATAAAGAGTTAATGGATTTATTTTTACCCAGACATTTTTATTACTTCAAATGTTATTTTAGTGGATACCTGTGTTTGAAATAGAAGCCCCATATTTTAAAATTTTAAACAGTGTCTATTATGTTTATTAGTCTGCACACTTGAGAAAACTTAAGAAAATATACTCGCTGACATGTTTCTTCTTCTAAAAGGGGAGATGCATGTTCGAACACTGTTGAGAGCACAATATCTTTAACTTTTCTCAAGCATGCAGACCAACAGACATAATACACACTGTTTAAAAAAAAAAAAAAAAAAAAAAGTGGGTGTCTACTTCAAAAACAGGTATCCACTAAAAATAACATTTGAAGTAATACATATAAAATACAGCATAGCTAATGCACTAATATACTGTATTTATATAAAAGTTTTAAGTATCAAAAAGCTTGACATTTCGCTGTATATTAGCACAAGAGTAATATGCTGAAAATTGTCAAAGGGCAAGAAGTTTTACATGTCTGACTTGAGTAATATCCATTGACCAACCCCCCTCCCCCCCCCCAAAAAAAATTGAAATTGCTAGCTTTCAGGCATATCTGATTAATAAGAATGTAATGTCAGCAGAAATATCTAAGACCAAATGATGCGATATTGATGATCACAGTTCTTTTTGTAAGCTACGTTAACAATTCTCATGACAGAAGGTAGTCCTATGTCTTTAGAGCCTAAGAAATTATTTCTAGGAAGACTGAAAAAAAAAAGGTCAACAAAAGGTTCAATTTTTTTTTTTTCTTCTTCTTCTTTTTTTACTCACAGAACAGAAGTTTCCTGGCAGAAATGATGAGACCACTAAATTAGATAGAAACTCTGAGAATCAACTTGGTAATGGGTCATTGCTGGGCAGTAATTGAAATCTCACAGCAGATATTTTCTAGAATTGGTTTCTGATGACTCCCATGACATTCAACAGAGCACAACAAAAATCTATAGCCAAAATGGAAAGTATGCCCTGTTTTTGCCTGTTAATATCAGATATTCAGCCAAAGTAAGAATTTGGATCAACAAACCTAATTCTAAAGGGGGAAAAAAAAAATTTTTTAATATTTTATTAATATTTAAAATATTATAATTTATTATTAATATATTAAATTAATTTATGTAATAAATTATAATCTTTATATAATTATCCTTCAACCCTTCCTTTATATATCCTTATCAGTTTTTATTCAACTTTTAGATTCAAAACATTTAGTTTGGTTGATGGCATATAATATTTAATGCCGACAAGATTTTTATTGCTGCTAATTTTTTTTCCCAAAAGTGTATTGCTGGTAATAATTTTTTCTTCTTCACAAATTCATTACTGGTAATATTTTTTTTTTGCAAAAATGTATTGTTGGTGTTAAAACCTATTTTTACACTTTCATAGTGTCTTGACCCCAGTTTGGGGGTTAACTATTTGCCCACAGCTGGGACCCTAACAGGTACTACCATCCTGGGTAAGGGTGGACATAGGAACACCAGCAATTAAGAAGTAGTTCCATGCTATTGAAAACCTCCTGATCAGAGGCTTTGCTGTTGGATGTAGTTTATCGTCTTACCCAGGATGCTCTAGCAGAGTAAAAGGAACGCTAAAACTTACATCATTTGATCTCATTTTCTGCTAGTTTTAGAATTGTTTTTCTATTTTTAGTATTTTAATATGGTGTAGATTGCAGTAGAAATTCTCAGTTGTAGCAACTGTCCTGAGGCTACGTTGCTCTATGGACAACTAAAATGTTATTGTGGACCCTCAATTTGATATTTTTATGTGGACCTATAGTAATGGTCCATATGGATCCTCATTGAGAATCATTGGCCTAGAGGATTAAGAAGTTGGTTAGAGAATTTAGTGACACAATAATGAATTCCTGAGCTCGGTATTACAAATAGAATCAGCGGAAACAGGATGAGCAATAGCTAGACAATTAACCAAGACATCCCTAGACACGGACAAAATAATGAGAACAATCTACTCACCCACTGCCTAGATTTAATAAAGGGCTCAGTTCAAAATTCCCAGGAGGTTACCCAGATTGAAAGACCCCTGAAGGAGACCAGGGGTCACAATAGCTGAAGTATTATGATATTAACAAAAGATGAGGACATTTATTATTTACATGATTTGCATGCATACTATTGTCCTCATCTTTGTTGTTGTTACCACGGTATCTTCCAGCCTCCATCAAGCCAAAGGGCACAATAATTAAAACATTGTGATAATATTGTCTTATAGTGAGGACAATAGTCAGCATGTAAATATTGATAATTCTTCAACAGAAAAATTTAGTTGTTGCGCTATTTTATAAACAGTGTTTTTTTTTTTTGAGGTTTTTGATAATTTTTTTTTCTTTTACCTACCAGTGTCTAAGCAAGTACCCTTCTATACCAATTTCTTACAAACGACCAAATTAAAATAATATGCAAAATAACATAGAAATATATTTCCATATACAAATAACTATTATCAAAAAAAAAAAAACAAAAAAAAACATAAGATATTGGAACAACACAAATTTATAAATTAAGAACAAAAAAAAAAAGCAGATATGTCAAAGAATTTTAAAAATTAACTTATTCATGGGAGAAAAAAAAAACAGATCTCTTGTGCATCAATGAAAAAGATTTTAATAAATGACAGAAAAAAAAAAAATATTATTCTTCAAAATTGAACTTTTAACTTTTTGAATTTTTAACGGCATATCAACTCTTTAAAGTAATTTTATGCCAAAACTGATTTGGCTTATATTTAAAGGAAATAGACAATCATTGTTATTTTTTATATAATTTCAGATATAATCCAACTAATTTCAGGAATGTTATAATTCTATTCATGTTAATATTTTTCTCTTAGGTTGATTTGTTAAAGCAACTCTTGAAAATATAAAAACGTATCAATGAAAAAATAAGTCTTTAAAAAATGCCAGCTGAAAATTCATCCAAGAACCAAAGATGTAATGCAAATAACTACATGTAGCATTTTCTTAACCTACCTACTTTCTTGTTTTTATAAAAAACAGGTAAAACCTATGTCTATAGATGAGGGCTAATGAGTAAAGATGCCAATAAAACATGAGATTGGTCTAATCTCCAAAAAAGAGAAAAAGGAAAGGAAAAGAGAAAAAGGAAAGGAAAAGAGAAAAAGGAAAGGAAAAGAGAAAAAGGAAAGGAAAAGAGAAAAAGGAAAGGAAAAGAGAAAAAGGAAAGGAAAAGAGAAAAAGGAAAGGAAAAGAGAAAAAGGAAAGGAAAAGAGAAAAAGGAAAGGAAAAGAGAAAAAGGAAAGGAAAAAAGAAAAAGAAAAGGAAAAGAGAAAAAGGAAAGGAAAAGAGAAAAAGGAAAGGAAAAGAGAAAAGGAAAGGAAAAGAAAAAAAAGGAAAAGAGAAAAGGAAAGGAAAAAGAAAAAGGAAAAAAGAGGAAAAGGAAAAGAGAAAAAGAAAAGGAAAAAAAGAGAAAAAAAAGGAAAAAGGAAAGGAAAAGAGAAAAGGAAAGGAAAAGAGAAAAAGGAAAGGAAAAGAGAAAAAGGAAAGGAAAAGAGAAAAAGGAAAGGAAAAGAGAAAAAGGAAAGGAAAAGAGAAAAAGGAAAGGAAAAGGAAAAGGAAAAAAAGAAAAAAGGAAAAAAAAAAAAAAAAGGAAAAGAGAAAAGGAAAGGAAAAGAAAAAGAGGAAAAAGAAAAGAAAAAGAAAAAGAAAAATAAAGAGAAAAAAAAAGAGAGAGAAAAGATAAAGAGAGAAAAAATAAGAAAAAGAGAAGAAAAAAAATCAAAACAGCAAGAAAGATAATTATGTACCCATTCCCAAGATTATCCTCCCTATTTTTCTTATTTCCACTTATGTCATTCTTCAAAATGTCTATGATTAATTAGCAGACGGAGATCATCGTTCAGAGTGAAAAGTTAACGAATACTTAGGTATAAATAACAATAAAAACATTGCCAGAAAAAGATTAGCGCCAAACGTACTATCTCAAATAATGAATTTGGCCATGAAGCAGAAGACATCAACTATCTTCCACTTGATGGATGGCTTTACAAGAAAAAAAAAAAAAAAGAAAAAGAAATTAAATCCAAAGACAGCATTAATTTTAACATTGATTATATATATATATATATATATATAAACAAAACAAAAAAAACAAAACAATCAAACTAGAAACAAGGTAAAAATTGGAAATGAAGTCCCATAAAGAAAGCAACTTTAAAAATCAAGGAATTACTCATCCCATAATAATTTTGACATCTGCAAACACATTTCATAAACTAAATCTAATAACTATTATGGGACAGAGAGTATTTCCAAATTGCTCGTTCAACTAGCCTTTTTTTGGGGGGATTGAAAAGGCACCAACACTTTTAAAACAAAAAATGCATTTATTTTGAATGTGTCCTGAACATTACTTATTTTTATGTACCAAGTGAATTTTGATCAATTGCATAAGACCAACTGGCTAGCTAGATAATAGGAAGTTTAGAAGTATTAACAAAAATATGTAGCTGCAACAATTTCAAAATCTCTCTCTGATGGAGTAGATGATGATCTGAATAAAGATGGGGGAAACTTATCTCAAGAGGGGGAAAAAGAAGTGATTTATTTAAGGCATGATATCCATTAACAAACAGATATTTTTATAAAGTGTGAATAAAGACTGTAAACTGTACTCTGTGTATGTAAGAAAGAGAGAGTGCGCGCGATAGAGAGTGTGTGATAGAGAGAGAGAGTGTGTGATAGAGAGAGAGAGTGTGTGTTAGAGAGAGAGAGTGCGTGTTAGAGAGAGAGAGTGCGTGTTAGAGAGAGAGAGTGCGTGTTAGAGAGAGAGAGCGAGCAAGAGAGAGAGAGCGAGCAAGAGAGAGAGAGAGAGAGTGTGTGAGCGAGAGAGAGAGCGAGCAAGAGAGAGAGAGTGCATGCGAGAGAGAATGCATATAAAACTTTTATATGCCACTAGAAGATTCTACTGCATAGCTATTGCAATTTACTGATATCCAATGATTTGATAATGTAGAAGAAATACCAAACTTTTACTGTTTACATGTTTCATATACTAAGAATTTGTTTTATTTATTAGATTTTCACTTATAGTCAGGAGAGATGAAGCAGAGGATCAATTGTTAGCCTAATTAATACTTTGGTTTACTATTCGGAAAGTATTAAACAGAAACAAGAAAAGGCAGACCAACAATGTTTTTTGATATTTTATAAGTACAAGGCAATTGCAAAATTACTTAAATATTTTATTTTTTGACAGGAAGGGAAAACTATTTTTTTTTTTTGTGTTAGTTGTTTTTAATAAAAAGCTAAGAAAGTTAGAGTAGCAATAAAAATAACAGTGGCTAAATATTCCTGTATAATACTGTAACGGTGACGCTTTTAGCAATAACAGTTCAAGAAAGTAGTACTGATTAGTCAATTATCGTCAATAAACACCATTCAGAGCTTATAAAGTGGATAATTAATACTACGATAATACTTACAAAGTCACATTTAAAAATAGTAGTAGTAATAACAAAAACATCCTGCATAGAAGACTGGTAGTGTATGAAGATGATGATAATGATGATGATGATGACAGTAATACAATTAATAGCAACTAGATAATTCAAGAGTAACAGATCCAGGGTGTCCTAGTAATAGGCATTTCAAATTAAGTAGCCTGGTAGCAGCATGATTAACTGTTAGTAGAAGTAACTATAATTGCATTACTAGTTTCATATCAAGTAGATCTTTGTTAAATTAATCAATTTCGGACGGAGAATATAATTGTGTAATTTAAGTAGTGGTTCCTAAAAGACTGTTAGAATTTCTACGGCCAAGAGAAAACAAAGGGTCAATCATAGATGAAAAAAAAAAAAAAAAAAATGGTGATAATAGTAACTATTATGGAGAAAGGTCACAAGAAAGGTCATAAGGGGGAGGAGATGGTAGTAAAATGTATGAAGCTAACTGGTAAAAAAAAAAAAAAAAAAAAATAGTGATAGTTAAGGTGCTTCTAAGAAAAAAAAAAAAAAAAAAAAACCAAAGAAAACGCAAGTCCTGGGTCAGGAGGGAAGGAAAGAGAAGGCTGATGTTGAGAGGCAAACGGGAGAAGAAGGGTAGGCTGGACAACGACAGCTCCTATTCCTGTTGGACAAATGGACAGGGGTGTATGATTCCATGCTGAAAGTCAGTAAATTGTTTATACATCCATCCATCCATTCTTCTGATGTTCCAATCATTCCTTTCGTATACGCACAAGCACACCAAGAGGGTGTTCAGCAATTGTCCCATTCGCTTGTTCCTACCGACTGAACAGAAAGAGAGAGAGATTGAGAGAGCGAAGGACAGGGCCATTCCCTTCACAAATATTCTAGGCAACATATACAGAATCCACACTCCTTGAAAGATGGACAGGGTGGGAGGGACTCCGTATCAAGGGTTTCTTTGGTATCCGTGCCAATGCCTTCAGAATTTGGCTAAATTCAGGTCGGTCATCAGGTTTGAAAGCCCAACAATCCATTAAGATGTCCTGCAAATATAAAAAAAAGAAAAATTGTAAGGTGAAACAAATAGGAAGAACACAAGTTAAAAGTGGTGATGCCAAAAGTTGGAACATCCTGAGGCCGATTTTTGAGGTTGAATAAAGCCCTCCCCACTCATCCATTATCAATAAGCCTGATACTGTAATTAGCTAAATTTTGATCTGAAATTTTCACAGTATAATGTTTGAGCTATGTGTTTAATATTCACCACTGAATTAAGTGCATTGATGATAAGAAGAGTGTAAAAATTTTGCAAGGAAGATAAGAAGAGTGTAAAAATTTTCTTCATTAAACTGACAAACTTATTGAAGAACCCCACCTTCTCACAGAAAATGATATTATATGAGCACATGGTCAAGTGATTAGAACATTTGCTTTCTGATCATGAGATTCAGGTTCAAATCTCACCCTGGTCAATTTGTCAGGGAGGTGACTTCTTGATGTTATCGGCTTGGGAAGGCGATCTCATACAGCACTGTTCGAAAATGTTTGAAAACCACTTCATGGGCTGACCCAAACCTAGTGAGTGAGATTGGGTATGCAGAGGCCATCAATGTTTGTGCTAGTATAAATTTATAAGTCATTGTGACCAAGAGTTTAAGTGTGCTGGCTTTGTTGATGATGCCAGAAGATTATGCAAAAAAAAAAAAAAAAAAAAAATGTCAGCAAAGTTGAAGTATCAGAGTGAGGAGTGGAGGGAGGGGGTTCTCAGCGGGTATCAAACAAATGTGTTGAGCCAGCATTTGAAATAGAGTTAAGTTAGCCACTCTAGCAGACAAGTGTGCTTGGAAACAAGTAGCTGACCATTATTATATAAAATTAATAAAGTATTTACTTATTTTGTTTATCATCATTAGATCTGTTATTTGTCCATATTGAGCACTAATTGCAAAGAAAGGTTGCCTTAAACAAAAATATATTTCCTGCTGAGAATTGGGTTTCTCTTTCCTTCTAAAGTCTTCTCATTCTCTTTCACTCCCAGTAGCTCCCTTGCGTCTTAGTGGCATTATTACCTTAAAAAAAAAAAAAAAAAAAAATCCTCCAAAAATACTATTTATTGTCAAAATATATTGCTGGTATTCTTACTAAAAAGAAAAAAAGTATTTTTATACTTTCACCAGATGTAGTTTATCATCATACTCAGGACGGTAAAGAAGAAAAAGAGAGGGAGACTTACTTTAACATCTCTGGATGTGATGATGTGACATAGCGACTGTTTGATCCCACGGCCCACTTGCCAGATTATACTCTCCCGAGGCAGTTGCTTGAAAGGCCACTCTCCACATAGCAGTTCATACCAAACCGTACTGTTAAAAGTATAAACAAATTCAGTGATCAGAACAGAGACATTCAATAAAAAATTAGACCAATTTTTTTCTTTTCAATTTATGCTGGGAAGTGCTCAATACAATGTTACAAAACACATTAATCATTAAAAGGTATGAAGTCTATGAAAAAAAAAGAAAAGTTATTTTTAGTGAACAAGATTATCCTTATAGGCCTGTTGAAAAAAACAAAAAACAAAACAACAACAAAAAAACAAAATAGAAGGTAAAAATGTAAATAAAATTTTAGTCACTCACCCAAATGCATATACATCTGATTTTTCAGTGAAAGGCAGGTCGGTGTTAGACGCCTGAGTGTTTCCTGCTCGCAAAGACCTCATTATCTCTGGAGACAAATAACATAACCAGCCTTGGGGAATGGCCAGGCAATCCCCTTTCCTGAAGAACAAGAATATGTTTGTTTACCGAGATACTCAGTAAATGAAATTCAAAATAAGTACTTTACTCGTTAATTTAAAGGAAAAAAAAAAAAAAAAAGAAAAAGAAAGAAAGAAAGACTTGTGTGGACAATTTAACGCAATTAATTTCTCTATATTTGGGATGATCCATTTTGCATTTTTGTATTTACTTGACTCCCCACTGAGTCAGGTTGTGACACAAGGTCGGTTTTTAACGTGGGGAGCTGAGTGTCTTCACTCGGGCTGCTGGTCTTAGCTGGTCATAGCTTGTCAGAGCTGGTCCAAGCTAGTCGTAGCTGTGATACTACCAGCACAGGGACATACCCCTCCAAGAATGGAGTTTAGACACTGTTGCCTAAAGGGTGTTTAAGGTTAATGGTTACTTGAATTTAATGTTAGTCAACTTTTTTATTTTTATACCATTCTATGTTGAATTATAGAAAGTTTCAAATTCTGAGACTTGAGCCACTTGTCAAGATTATGGTTTTAAAAGAATTTTGAGAATTTGAGATTAATTGCAAGAAATTAGTTATACATCAATATCAAGGTTTAAAACAAATTGTCTAGTTAAAGAAAATAGGTTGAATGATAGAGGAGAAAGTCTGGAAACCATTGTAAAAGTCTATAATGTAATAAACCATTGTAAAAGTCTATAATGTAATAAACCATTGTAAAAGTCTATAATGTAATAAACCATTGTAAAAGTCTATAATGTAATAAACCATTGTAAAAGTCTATAATGTAATAAACCATTGTAAAAGTCTATAATGTAATAAACCATTGTAAAAGTCTATAATGTAAAAACCATTGTAAAAGATGTAATAAACCATTGTAAAAGTCTATAATGTAAGGCCAAAAACCATAAAAGTCTATAATGTAATAAACCATTGTAAAAGTCTATAATGTAATAAACCATTGTAAAGTCTATTGTAATAAACCATTGTAAAAGTCTATAATGTAATAAACCAAAAGTCTATGTAATAAAACCTGTAAAACTATAAGTATTGTAAAAGTCTAATGTAATAAACCATTGTAAAAGTCCTGTAATAAAGCAAAAAGTAAATCTACAAGCCTTTTTTCTTACCAGCCATTCATGTCCTTATAACAAATAAAAAATAGTTGAATACTAAACAGTCATTGGGGACATTGATATCACATTAGAGTCAATAAAAATAGGAGGTCAAAAATTCCTTTATGTCTCACCAAAAATCCACAGAATTTGTGTTGTTGAAACTGGACCAACAGCATTGATTAAAGGTGTGAGAATCAATAGCTGTGGTCCTATATAAGGTCATAATGTAGGTGGGGGGAAAAAGGATTAGGACTGATTTGTTTTGCTACGGCTTATCAACCCATTGCAGGTTATTTAAAGCCAGAAAATTTTTTTTTGAGAAATAATGAGAAATAGTAAGAATTTGTTTTTTTTTTGTAGATAATGGCTTAGTGATACATGTCTTACTAATTAATCCATAGCTAGGGGCAGAAGAGGTAGATTCATGCCTTTCCCAATAAATGAATATAATGAACCCAATGGGAATTGGAAGTAGGCTCTTTGATTAAAAGAGCTGAGTCATTATCCATTACACCATCCAAGCTTACAGCACATGGTATTCTCAAGCAGTCACACATCTTGGTACTGAACAGGCTCTATGTTACTTATCGTACAGGAACCAATATTGCTGTAAGGCAAAAAAGATATTAGGATTTGCAATAAGACTGCTGAGAGCTTATGGGCAATGATATCTAGAAATGGCATATGTAGTGTGGTTTAAGATCCCTTGTGTTATTTCATGCTTAGGATTTTGTTAAATGTATATACCTCAAAGGAGAGTGTGGTATTTCACCCATTGTGCCAGTTTTACTAGTACAATGCTCCTGTGTTGTATAATCCCTATTAGTACCAGTAAAAACATCTCAATTTTAAAATCTTCAAAGTATAACCCTTTACACATAGGGACTCAAGCTTTGTTTACATATTTCTGTGAATAATTCTAAACATTTTTATGTCCACAGGAAAACTCATTGAGATGCCAATCCAATCCAATCCTGCCAAATGCCAATATTGTCACCATTATCTTTGTGTAAAACAAGGACCTACCTGCTGGCAAGGCTGACATGCCAAAAAGAATTATACAGCTTAAGAGGTAAGTAGAATAAGACTGTTTATATGAGCAATTTTGTACAAGCCATTTGCTACTCTTCAAAGCTGATCAGTTCTGTTACACAGGCAGTAGTAAAATAGATAAGTGGACTAGTCCCAGGGTTTCAACACTTAACTGGATAAATCTTTCTTACAAAAAATTCTTAGAAAACATTTTCAAATATCAGATACAACAGACAGAATCTTCCTTTTATTATTAACAAGACTACCCACACTTGTCCACCCAACCAGCATCTAGTCACCTTATCAAATTCTTAACTAGAAGAGATTTTTTTTTTTTTTGTAACATTGTCATTATGATTAATTTTTGACTAGTTGCTCTTCAATCTTATTTCTGTTGCTTTTTATTGCAACTCCCAAATTATTCTTTTATGACCATTACATAAGCAACATGGAACAAAGAATAAGCCCTCAGCAAGATTTAAACTAGAATCAATTATCCTTGGAACCCTTTATCGTTACTAGTTTGGCTATGAAGCAATACATCATGCTCAAATCAGTCACATATGCTTCACCTTAATTAATCATGACTATGCCATTATTTTGTTTACACAAATAATAAATGAATTTCTTAAATTAAACATTGCTAGTATTAATTTTTGACTAACCTTTCAGTCACCTAATTTACATTGCTTTTTATTGTAACTCTCACATCATAATCCTATGAACTTTAAGAAATAAGAATTCTTTAACTATTGTATTTGCTGGCATCAAGGATGCAGATTTTTTTCCCTGAAATAAGTCTTGAAAATTTGCCATGCGTCCTTGACGATGAAAGTTAGGATTTTCATAGGCCTATGCTAACCCCAGAGGAAGGTTATCTATGCCAAATATTAAATGGGATTCTTGTATGTGATCTCTTAGTTAAATTTATCAATTATACACCATTTAAGGTTGTAAATAAAGT